AACAGAAACACTAAACACAGTTGGGTTCCACCCAATCCAAATACGACCCCCTAAATGAGCATCATAGTTATTAACCCAACACCAATTATTCCTAATTTTATTGGAAATAAACTGAAAATGAAGAAGCTTCACTCTAGTTTCTAATAAACAGACAAACTGAGAGGCATTATTTTGTATCCAACCTTTTACCTCCTTTTGTCTTCTAAGCTTATTTAAGCCTCTTACATTCCATGCTCCTATCATTGAGAAGATGACGAAGGCTGAGGCTTCAGCCCCAACTGGCTTCTAGTTCTTACAGGTGTTGTTGCAATAGCCACCTTCTTTGATTTCTTATTTGGGTCCCCTTGACCAACAGATTTAGACATCCTTTGAGGTTGGCTATCATCATTCCTAGTTTCCCCAGCAACCCCAAAACCAACTGTGGAAACTTGCACGGAATCATCCATAGGAGTAATCACTGGTTCCATGGTATCTACCCCTTTTTTCAGAGATGAGTGAACCACCCCAGTCATTGAGAGGCTCTCCACAACACATTCTTCTTTCTTATCTATAATGCCTTCAGCATTCTTGGAGTGCACTACCATTGTATCCTCAATAATACATGTCGGCTGTAAATTATTATCCACATCATCTACAACATGGATAGTATCCTCAAGCTCATCTAATGCAGCAAAATCATTTGAAACCGGGACTGATTCATGAGAATCTAAAATCAGAATAAGAATTATATAGAATAAGAGAAGGAAATTGAAACTCCTAACAATAATTAGTTTGGCCAACTCTGATAGTACATTCCATGTCCCTTTAAATTTCACATGTTTCTCCATAGTAAACCTTGAAAATTAGGCAAAATTTTGGCTTGTCTAACTTGCAGGAGGTATTTTCTTACAGTTTTAGACATGGCAAATAAACCTAGCATGGGTCGCCAAAAGATCAAAATGGCAAAAATAGAGATAAAAAATCATTTGCAAGTCACCTCCTCGAAACGTCGATCGGGGCTTTTCAGGAAGGCGAGTGAGCTTTGCAGTCTTTGTGGTGTAGAGGCTGCAATTAATTATAGTTCTCTCTCCTGCAGGGAAGGTCTTCTCTTTCGGACACCCGAATGTCGAGTCTATGGGGGATCGTTTCCTCACTCGAGACTCTCCACCGAACTCCAGAACTCTCCATCTCCTTTAGGCTCATCGCGATGCCAGCATTCGTGGACTCAATTCACACCTCACTCGACTTCTAAATGAGTTAGAAGCTGAGAGAAAAACTGGTGAAGCCCTTGATCGGATGAGGAAAGCTAGGCAAAACCGATGCTGGTGGGAAGCCCCTATTGACAAGTTCGGATTGATAGAGCTTGAACAACTTAGGGACTCCATGGAAGAGCTTAAGAAGAATGTTACAAGTCAAACTAACAAGTTGTTAGTCAAGGTTTTAACCAAAAAAAAAAAAAAAAAATAAGTTGTTAGTCGAGGCCAGAAAAGGTTTGAGCCATATTGGTTCAAGTAGTACTACTCAAGTGCAAGTGCCGTATTGTCAAAGTGGTTGGGTTGTTTCCTGCGTTTGGAGTCTGTGTTCGACCCTTACACCCTCCCCTCCCGTCTAGTAACTAATCATTAACCCCTAACATTCTTGCTCTGAAAAGAAAAGAAAAATACTACTACTCTTAGGTACTCAGGATGTTTTGGATATGGTGGTCATGGATTTTTCTGAAGTTGTACTGTCCATAATTGGTGGCAGTTTCAAGCTAGTACCTCACTAGAATTTGCTGTCAATTTAATTTTCTATTTTTTAGTTATGGGTGTACATTAATGGTGATGGATTCTCACCTATCTAATGTTCATTGATGCAATAATGAACATGGTATTTATTGTTTTATTCTCAGTAACAATTAAGGTTTGCTTACATTATTTTTGGACGTCTTACCAAGGATGCGCAACCAATCACCATCTGATATGAATCGATGATCATGATGATATGATTAATATTTTGGATTCTAAATGTGTGATCATTAATTCAACATGAACTTATAAAATCTGTGATATGGATGCCCAGAGGCGTATTTATGCATGTAACTAATTACTTACATAACATCATAAGGTTAAGTTTTTTGTCGAATAATATCATAAGGTTGAGTTCATATGTAAAACATCAATGGTGTATTAATTAAAATCCATATGGTATGTAATAAATCAAAAAATATTGTTGTAAAAAAAAAAAAAATTAGAAATATAAATTGCGCGACATTAAGGGTTCTTTGGGCAACATATATTGGTGTAATAAATCCATATACGATTGTTTAGCTACAATAATAAAAACAAGAGAAAATAATTTATTTTTTACTATATATTTGGGTCTTTCCTAAAAACATTCGCATTATTGTGCAAAGCGCTACAACATGTGTTTTTGCAACTTCTTTATCCTTTTCACCAATTTGTCAGCAAAAACAAAAAAACAAAAAAGAAGATTGCCAAAAGAAGCTTTAAGTATACAATATTTCAGTAATAAATTTAAAGAATAAGAGAACAAATGGAGAGAAAAGAAGGTTGCACATATGTCATACATGAGTGCAGGAAGGAGAAAGAAAAAATTAAAAAAAAAAAGAAAAAGGAACACAAAGAAAATGAAAATATAGAGTACAAATGAAAAGGAAAAAAAAAAATCATAGATTAATTTTTTGGAAAAAAAAAAAAAAAAAAAAAATTAAGGCAGTGCATTCCTGGAATTTTATAAGTTATATATGTGATGAACAAAGAGGGGGAAGGGGTGAATTGGTTCTTCCACTCTCTTTTAGGGTTTTAAACACTCTTCTAACCTAAGATAACCATCACAACTTTTAAGGAGAGCTCACAGAGATATCACTATGGTTTTGAAACCCTAATCCGTCGCAAAATTAGATTTTTACAAGGAAAACCCCTCTCAATTGAGAGCAAAAATCTTAGTTATTGGGTACGCACCCAATGCAAAATCCACTTTGTAATGCAAGTTAATACACATTCAGCTGTCTCACACTCTGCACACACCCTAACTCACAGTGTGCACACAACACTCCCTCTATCCTAAGCGACCTTGCTTGAACCAAATAAGCTCTTGCTGCTCATCAAATACATAATAAAATATGTATAACAACTAAAGCTATTACACAAGATTGGAGTGAATATATAGCTCAAAGTATAGCTCAATACAAATACTTCACAAGTTTCTGCACAATCTGTGATCTGAAGGGTAAAATTGGAATGCAGCTTCAATACAGACTTGAGCTTGGTTTCCATAACCTTAGATCAAAAATATACACTTGCTCAAATGATAAACACAATGAGAATAGCAAGGTATAACAAAAACAGTACTCAAATAGGTTCTGCAGAAAACTGTCAAGGTATAAAAGGCAAAATCCAGAAATGACCATTTCATTTTTGAAAACTCAACTTGAATAGGCTCAAATATATATATATATATATATATATATATATATATATATATATAAACCCCCACCTTGCTCAACTGTTGTTCATGGAGTTCATAGCAAGATATCAACATATATATATTACTTAGATCAGAAGCATAAACCAGAAAATAAAAACATATTTGAGGTATGAGATATAAAAATCTACTGCAGTGGGAATATGAGAGTAAACATGGTTTCTGCAGTTGTGTATTGACCACACAAATATGTCTCAACCTTCAAGAACCCATGTGATGCCTCACACCAGTACTAAGCCTCTGCACCAGCTTCTTATACCAGAAATTCAACAGACAAAAACCTTAATGTTCTTCATTTTCAATTGTGTACACTCAATATATATAATTTTGAGGTGAATTTCAGCTCTCTCAATTAATCAAACACTCAATAATTATCATGTTCTTGACTGTCTCGAGAGTTATACACAATGCATTTTCATTAGGGCTCTCGACTTTCACAAAAGAGACACAGAGTTGCTATAGCTATAACAATGTATATATAGTACTAATACATTGAGATGAAATCTTGTTTTAATGAGGAAAGAAATGTGGCACATTCCACTAATCATTGGTGAGGGTATATTATGATATTCCCTATGTGAAAGGACCACAATGTGCTTGCACAACTCACTATTTTTGTCTACTACGTACCATGCACACACACATTTTGCATTTCATATGCACCCACACCAGCCTTGGAGAGAAGAATTGTAAACTTGGTGAAATGAAATATGGTTCATCAGCTTTCTCTCACAAGAACCACACCACACCTGTCAGTCATGTGCACAATATACACAGAAGGACCAAAATGTCCATGTGAAGGACACTTGTCTCAGAAAACTGTAATGCAGTCAGGATACTAACAAATTGAATTTCTGAGCTCAGTGAAGCAATATAGCATCCAAAAGACTAAAATGCCCGAGAGTGAATGAGATCATTTTTTTTTTTAAAAATGATACATTCTCTGAATTTGGAGGATACCGACTGAATATTGTGGGCATACACCCTATTCACATATTCCCTAATCGACATCCTTCAAATTTAAAAAATGTATCATTACTCAAGTTTTGTACTTTTTCCCAATAATTTCCCATACAATCACTATACGTACCTTTCTAATTAATCTTGGACAATACCTTTCCAATTAACCTTTGAATCTCTTTAAAGCTAGCAGTTGCCAAATTAGTTCACACTAGAATAACATGTGCAGTTACTGAAAATGACATTGACATTCAAGTACGTCAACAGCCAACTAAGAAATTGTTTTCAAAATATATACTGCATTAAGATCGAGGATAAGATTTTTCAACTCCCAAATCAGGGATTAATGAAATTGAAACTCCTAACAACAATTAGTTTGGCCACTCTGATGGTAAATTCCAAACCCGTTTAAATTGCATATGTTTCTCCATACGAAACCTTGAAAAGTAAACAAAATTCCAAGCCCCTATAAATTGCATTTGTTTCTCCTCTATGTTTCTCCATGCTAAACCTTGAAAATAAAGCAAAATTTTGGCTTGTCTAACTTGCAGGAGGAATTTTCTTACAGTTTAGACATGGCAAAGAAGCCTAGCAGGAAAGGTCTTCTCTTTTGGACACCTAATGTTGAGGCCATGCTGGATCGTTTCATCACTCAAAACTCTCCACCGAACTCCAAAACTCTCCATCTCATTGAGGCTCATCGCGATGCCAGCATTCGTGGACTCAATTCACACCTCACTCGACTTCTAAATGAGTTAGAAGCTAAGAGAAAAATCGGTGAAGCATTTGATCGGATGAGGAAAGCTAGCCAAAGCCGGTGCTGGTGGGAAGCCCCAATTGACAAGCTCGGATTGCTAGAGCTTGAACAGCTTAGGAACTCCATGGAGGAGCTTAAGAAGAATGTTACAAATCAAACTAACTAGTTGTTAGTCGAGGCCAAAAATGGTTCGTCTTTTTTTTGCAAAGAATAGTAATGGATTCGTTGTTCCGTTTGAGAAAAAACCTAATGATTTGAGCCAAATTGGTTCAAGTAGTACTTTTCAAGTGCAAGTAATGTGTTGTCTGAGTGATTGGGTTGTTCCGTGTGTCTGGAGCAGCCCATGTTCAACCCTTTACTCTCCTCCTCCCCTCTAATAACTAATCATTGACCCCTAACATTCTTGCCATGAAAAAAAACAAAAAAACTACACTCAAGTACTCAGAGAGTTTTGGATATGGTGGTCATGGATTTTTCTGAAGTTGTTTTGTCCATAATTGGTGGCAGTTTCAAGCTAATACCCACTAGACTCTGTTGTCAATTTAATTTTCTATTTTTCAGTTATGAGTGTACATGAATGTTCATGGATTTTCACCTATCTAATGTTCATTGATGCAATAATGAACATGGTATTTATTGTTTTATTTTCAGTTATAATTAAGATTGCTTACATTATTTTGGGATGTCTTACCAAGGTATGCACAACCAATTACCATTTGATATTAATTGATGATCACGATGATATGATTCATATTTTGGATTCTAAATGTATGATGTAATTTAACCAGCTACAACATGAACTTTTAGAATGCCGAGGGGCCTATGTATGCATGCATGTAATTAATTATATGAGTTCTTTAAAGCACGTGTATCCGCCTCATAACACATGCATCATTCAAGTATGTTAGGAGTGTTGTTCGAAAGTAAGACTTCAGAGACTTACCTCTTAGATCCCTATCAATGCCTCTATACCTCTATGGCCATGTAACTAATTACTTACATAATAGCATAAGGTTGAGTTCACATGTGTGAAATATTAGCCTATAGCTATTAGACATAATTAAAAAAAGTAAAAATAATTTTTTGGTGCGATAAAGACAAGTCCAGATTATAATTAATGGCGTATTAATTAAAATTCACAAAGAAAATAATTTTTGTAAAAAAAAAAAAAAAATAGAAATAAAAATTGAGGACATTAAAGGTCCTTTTGATGACATATATATTGGTGTTTTTTTATATTTTTTTAAAAATTTCTTATTATGATTGTTTAGCTACAATAACAAAAACAAGAGAAATATTTTATTTTTTACTAAATATTTGGGTCTTTTCTAAAAACATTTGCATCATTGTGCAAAGCGTTAAAACATATGTTTTTGTAACTTCCTTATCTTTTTCACCAATTTGTCAACAAAAATAAAAAATAAAAAAAACAAAAAACGTTTCCCAAAAGAAGCTCTACGTGTAAAATATTGTAGTAATAAATTTAAAGAATAAGAGAACAATTGGAGAGAAAAGAAGGTTGCTCCATATGTCATACATGAGTGCAGGGAGGAGGAAAAAAATAAAAAAGAAAATAGGAAAACAAAGAAAATGACAATAAAGAGTAGGAATGAAAAGGACAAAAAAACATAGAGTAATTTTTAGAAAATAAAAATTATAAGCAGGCTGGTGCATTTGTAGAATTTTATAAGTTATATATGATATATGTAAAAACGGTTAGTGAGGCTAGCAAGGGCCCTGGGCACATGCCTGCTCCGCTGTTGACCATGAAATTTTTTTACATGGTTTGGGATTATATGGTCCCAGTCAATCCCAAAATAATACGTGTCATGTTTTGATTGGCCGGGATAATCTAGTCCCAGACCATGTAATAATTTCTGTTGGTACCACTATCATCACTGCCATTAACCAACTTTTAATTTGAATCTCTAATGGCTAACGGTATGTTTGGTAAAATGGATAAGAAAATAAAAAATAATATTAGTTATGAAAGAAAAGAAAATAAAGGAAATGAAATGATAGTTTTATTCTCCTATCATGTTTGGTTGATTAATGAAGAAAAATAAAAGAAATGATAATAAATATATTTGGAAAAAGAAATGAAATGAAACTATTTTAATAAATTTAGGTTAAGTAATTGTTGACCATGACACTCGCTGCCAACTAAACATGCAGCGAGTGTCATGGTATTTCAAAGAGTTAAAAAAAAAAATAAAAATAAAATTATATGCTTATATTTGATTAATTATTTTAAGTTTGTTAGGGACGGTTACTCTTACTTTGGGAAGCTTCATCATTGGAATGTGCCCATTTTTTTTTTATCTGCAGCAACTTGGTAATTGGTGTCTTTCAAACTTTAGTGCTAATTCATACGGAATAAGATATATAGAAGACTAATCTCTACCACTTTATGGTTCATTTGGAATTAAAGGAATCAAAGACTCCGACATGATTTAGTTAGGACAGCAGAGGTGGTGGCCCGACTGATTTGGGGGAGAAACCATGGACATTTCTCGACTCAAGTTTTTAACTCTTCTATATAATCATTTTGGGATAGCTTTTGCTTCACAAAGAAGCCGGAGTGAACTAGAATGTGCATGAGGCGATTGTACACACAAATTTTGTAAGTCTGTAAATAGAAACAAAATTTGGAGCAAATATAATATTATTAATTTGGAAAATTTGAGTACAATCCTTTGTAATATCTTTTACAAGAAGAATGGTCCTCTGATTCGATCTCCTTTTTGTTGTTGATTGGATCCAAGAGCTGCACTAGCTTGTTCTTGAATCACCGAAGAATTTGATGAAGAATGGCACGTCGTTGGATGTGCTTGTTGTTGATCACTGTAGGATTTGATGAAGAATGACACGTCCTTAGATGTACTTGTTATTGATCACCGTGGGATTTGATGAAGAATGGCACGTCGTTGGATGTGCTTGATGTTATTCTGAATTTGTGTCTCTGACTTCTGAATCTCTGGATTTCTGAGTCTCTGGATTTCTGGACTTCTGAATTATGAATCTGTCTCCCTTCAATTTTTGTCCCCTGCTTCTTCCTCCAGGCCTTTATTCACTACAAGAAAAACAGTTTTTTACCACGCCCTTTCTACCACGGTTTTAAAATAACCGTGGTAGAAAATTTATATTTTACCACGGTTATTTCAAAACCGTGGTAGAAAGTTTATTCTACCATGGTTATTTTAAAACCGTGGTAGTAATTATATTTTTTACCACGGTTATAAAAGCACCCTGGTAGAAAGTTAATTTATTTCACCACGGTTTTCCATTAACCGTGGTAGAAAGTGAGGTTATTTCACTAAATTTTAGCGGGATAAGGTCGCGCCCTTTGTGCTGCTTTTTCTACCACGGTTAATGGAAAACCGTGGTAGTAATTCAATCTACCACGGTGGAGCACCGTGGTAGAAATTGAATATAGAAGGCGGGTTTTATTCCCGCTAGTTTCTTAAAGAAAAAATTAATCTTTTTTTTTTATATATACATAAATATATATAGCCTCGCACGTACACAGACCACATAGTTTAGGGCAAATCATTTCAGCTTCTCCTCACTTCGATCAGCATCCCAAATCACCTCATCTTCCCCTCACTTCGATCAGCATCCCAAATCGCCTCCATCTCTATTCTCGTTCTCCTCACTCCCAAATCGCCTCCATCACTATTCTCGTTCTCCTCACTTCAGCATCCCAAATCGCCTCCATCGCTATTCTCGTTCTCCTCACTTCAGCATCCCAAATCGCCTCATCTCTATTCTCGTTCTCCTCACTTCAGCATCCCAAATCGCCTCCATCTCTATTCTCATTCTCTGCTCTGAAGTTACCCTCTCTCTGTCTATGGAAGTGTAAACTACAAAATCTACAAGAATCAGAACCCATATCGACATATCATATATTATTGTTTAAAATCAAAACCCATATCCTTCAGTTTCCAAATCCCGCTGTTCCAGTTCGATTGGGTTCGCCTTTCGCAAGCTTCAGGCTCTATCCCGGTGTCTCTCAACTCTCAAGCTATCTCTCTGCAGCTACGAACTTGTATGTATGGGTTTTGTTTTATTATTTTTTTTCTAAATCAATTAATAAGGTCTGTAATTCTTGTTTTGCAAACTAAATCCTATTTTGTGAAATAGGATCTCCCTTTGCAGGATTTGAAAGACTAATTGGTAAATTTGGGTTGAATTTGAGTCTTAAACAAGCTGAAGGCCCTGGTAAGTTATTCTTCAATTATTCAATATAAATTTTTTTAGGGCAAATCATTAATTTCAGCCTCCCCAATCGCCTCTATTCTCGTTCTTGACTCTGATTTTAGGGAATGTGGTTTGGAATTTGGGGTTTTATTGGTTTTATTAGCTAATCTTTAAGGTTTTTATTGGTGGTTTAGTGAATCTCTGCTCTTTCTTCAGTTGTACAATAAATCTAAAGAGAGGGTTTGGTTTTTGTCATTCTAGTTTACAATGCATCTCTTAGTTCTGGGCCAATCACCTATCTCTGTCTTTTTGTTTAGCAAATGTATCCCGACATTGTTATTGTCCTTAATTTGTTGAGATGAACCTTTTCCCACATAATTACTTTCCAAAGCTTCTATCCTTCTTTTCAAATGACAGAGAAATGAACATGTTCTTATCTTCATATTTAGTCATTAAGGATTTTCTTCCCCTTAAGAGAACTACCATAAGTCATATGCATAAAAGACAAACAGGCTAAGACCAGTCAAATTTCTAGAGACACCATTAATAGTTGACAGGTAAATGATATCTATTACATTTCAGAAGCAACTGGAATTGGAAACATAATTAGAATAACCATAATAAACATTGATGGCAGAAAGAGATGAAACATAAACATTAAGCACCTGTTTCCAAATAGCAGAGTTCCAATTCGTCATATTCACGTAATGAATCTTCATGAAGATGAGCCATCTCAAACATGAAAGCCAAGCTTTACTATAAATAGAGAAAAAAACACTAGATAACTTGGAATATTCTAGAAAGAAAATACTCTGAATAAGAATGTTATGTAATTATGAACACATGGCTGAGAGGACACGAGTTAATGTTAGTTAGCCGGCCACCACCTATGTTCAATGGGAGGCATATTCTTTCTTTTCTGTTGAAAACTTCTCCAGATGTGCTATATAATTCAACTAAGTTTAC